TTTTTTCTTTCCTCGATTTCTTTTTTCTTTTTTTTTTCTTTGCTAACTAATTTTAGATGTTGTTTTTGCTTGGAAGTCGCATCAGCTATTTCTGTCTATCCAAACGTACCCACAGTCTCCGAGCAACAAAGGAGAATAACAAATGCTTACATAGAAAAAAATATGTATGATAGCTATAATGTTTTGACTATGTACAGAATCAACAGAGTGGTCATCATACACTAGATGTAGCGTCACTTGTGGTACAGGAATAAGAACAAGAACAAGATCATGTGATGGCATCGAGTGCCCCAAGGCTGGGAAAGAAGTCGCTACTATATCATGTAAAAACCCAGACTGTCCAGGTAGGAGTCTATCGTGCTTCAAATAGAGCTAGATCATTTTTGCGGAGGGAAGAAAACCAGAGAACCCTATTGGAGTAAATCCCTCGATGCACAGGAGAGAACCAACGAGCAACTCTAGTCACATACGACACTGAGTCAGAAGCGAGTGAGAAGCGAGTAGTGTCACGCCTACTGCACCCATGCTTCCCTCAAGATTATCATCTTTAAAATTTCAACTTCTAAATTACTTTAATTCGATCTAGAAAGGGCCTGAATAAAAATAACTATTGCAATAATACAGCTTCTCATTAATCCCATATAGGTAACTGTCCAATTATTTTCTTAATTAGACAGGTATTGTTGATATGGGATTAATTAGGCAGCTATATAATTAATAGGTAATGCGATTTCATGCTCCCCAATCAAGAAATAATTTGACTCGAAAAATTCCCCTGACTGCAAAATTGGACTCTGCCTACGGCCTCATCCAATTTTGTCAGTCCTCGGAATTTTCCTCGTCCAATTATTTCTTAATTGGACAGCATGGAGTCCTATTACATATACTAATTCTCCTAATTTATCTACCCTATTGTGTAGTGTTTTTTAAAGTTATTATTTGGTAGTTATTATCTGCGGCTATTTATAAATGAAGGTTCGAAACATTTACAAAAAGGTAGCCACCAGAACTATTTCATTATTCTATGTAATAATTAAATGTAAGAATACATTTTCTTCTCTTTTGTTTAAAGTTTTGAACTTGGATTTCGAGAAAGTTGATGGTCACGTGGTCATCGACCAATCAGGAAAAGGCAACAACGCCTTCATGGATAAAGAGACTCACATCGTCCCTTACAAGAGCCTTTGCGGTCACCATGCCGACCTTGGTTACCATGGCAACCTTCTGTTGGAAGACTTCACGTTTAGAAAGAAGCCCAAACATGGGGTTTCTATTGCATGCTGGGTAAACTTACAAGGGTCGACACAAGGGAGTCATTCGATATTCAGTACCTCGAAAATGGTCAACGTTGGGCAGATTATTGGTTAGTAGAATATTGTCATTCTCGTGGTGTCTAAGGATCGGAACCTGGAAATTTGTGCATTCAAGTTCTGAGGTTTATCTTGCGAAAATCTTATTCCCAGGGCCATTTCACCCAGTAGGAGTGAGAGGGTCCTGGTTATGAGGGTATTAATGTTATATACGGTACCCAAGTTAGACCCGCATGCACTTTTTTTTTGATTTGGTATCGGATTTTCTGGAATTAGGGTATTCTTATTCTGATCTTTACCATGCTGTGTACAGTACTGTTTGTACCCAAGCTAGACCATCATGCATCATGCTTATAACTCAGGTCACAACTATATCATAGTATCTTCTAAAGCACAAACGGCAAAAATGAAGTTGTACTCGAGAGAATAACTCATGGTCTGAACCAGTATATGGGGTCTACAAAAAACAAAGTTTTTTTTGCGCATGTGTATTAAAAGTATTGATTGCATTATTTAAGGTGGTTACCACTTTGAAGTCGATGATGGTAAAGTGCGCTGGTTTCATCGCAGTGCGTCACACAATCCTGTCTTTAGTGTTGTCACTGGTAACGTAATCCACCCAAATACCTGGTACCACGTGGTTGGCACGTATTCATCAAACACCAAGAAGGCTAAGGTAATGAAGGAAACTGGCTTTCGTTAATAAGAACATCATAGAGTTTTAAATGAAATTGGTAGCCTTGATTCTATTTGAATCATTCATCCCAGCCATCCATTCCTTCCATTTTTCCACCCAATTGTCTCATCTTAGCTATTCCATCCGTCCATCATTCATCCACTCATATATCATTGCATCCATCCATTCATTTTCTTATCTATTATACTTACTTGATGATTTAACCATTCAATTCATCATCCATCTATCCATCCATCTACCCATCCATCCATCCATCCGATCCCTCCATCCCTCCATCCATCCACCTATTCATCCATCTATCTATCTATCCATCCATCCAGCCAACCATCCATCAATCAATCGCCAATCCATATTCGCACACTGACATATACTATTTCACCAGGTATACATCGATGGTAAGGTCCACGGTTCATCATCAGGTGACGGTCTACTAGACGATGACTGGGGATACCGAGCATCGATCGGTAGCTTTGACTTTGATGGACGATTTATCCGCGCAAAACTAGATGATTTTTTCATATACGACTACGAAATCACCCCTGAACAAATACAAGATCTTCTCAGCATAAAATGCCCAAAGAAAAAGAAAAAGAAAAACTACTTCCAACCGCAATTAAACGGGACGTAGATAAATGCTGATGAACTATGATGTCGATAGATGACGATTCCTAAAATAGGATGAGAGTTATTTTCTTCACCGCGTGAAAAAATTTGATACAAAGATACAAGAGGTCACTTTTTTCTTCCTTTGAAAAAAATGTAAAGTAAAGACTTGATGAAGGATTTTTTTAAGATTATTTAAATCAACAAGCGAACGACCAGGAATGTCATTAATGACAGTCTAAACAAACTTCAGTGTTTTACGTACATTAATGGACAACAAAGTGAAAGAGACAGCACGTTGCGGTTGCCATGGAAAGCATTACGCATTTAAGGATTATATAGGTTTTATTTTACAAGGGATCAGATATCAGTACTAACATTGTTACAGCATTGAACATTTGCGAGTTTTACTTAAGGATTGACAAAGTTTTGGTGGTACGATCTGAAAGAAAACTTTCCAAAAATAGTTGACTTTCAGAGAAATGTTTTCTGCAGAAGTAGCAATTCTCCAACTACAAAGTAAAGTTGATTTTTGCTGTTAGGAGAAGCAACTACCTTCAGATGGTTCTTTACTTTGTGTCACAAAATGAGAGCATTGCAATAGACCTCTTCGGCTCTGACGTAATGTTTTCCCATTTCAGACCACATGTCATTCCCTAGAGTATCATTTCTTTGTTTAAGGTTTGCGCATGAGAAGACACTTGAATATGGATACAGCTCAAACAAAGAATCTTATTCTCAAGGGAATGACACGTGGTCTGAAATGGGAAACATTACCCCAAGCCGAAGAGGTCAATTTGCTTTTAAACTTTAAACATTTTGATATTAAAATATATCAGGAAGGAACATCCAGGAACTAGTATGTATAATGATAACCGTTACCAAAGATCAAATTCCATTCAACTATTGACTGGTGAAACACAAACGATGCAAGATGTTTCACAAAAGTATTAAAAGCTGCACCCTGCAGCCTTTATTCGATGTTTTTTTTTTTTTTTGTAGAATAAGAAATGGAAAATAGTCAATAGACTCCTTTAACAAATTTCCCCCAAGAATGGGTACAAAAATGAAAACAGGATTGCGATCTTTTTGATGTTAATATTTTTCATTGCCGTGACTATTGTCTTGACCCCCAATAAGGGTTTGGTATTTATTGGGTAAAAATAGACTTGTTTACCTTGGGCGTGTTGTTTTGTCGTATCCTGCTCAACAGTTAAACAAAGAAATGATACTCTAGAGAATAACACGTGGTCTGAAATGGGCAAATCATTACGCTCAAGGTAAAGAGGTCTATTGATTAAGAAAATCAGTAATCCTGATGTGGTATTTCCTGGATATGTCGTAGTTAAGATGTAGATAGATGTAGGTTAAGTCTATGTACAGCACTCCTGATGTAAATTGTTTAATTTCTCGAATTTGTATTGTATATTAAAGGAAATTAACGAGGAAATAGTAAATAGCTATTGTCATGGCTTTGGCGGTTTGGCTTTCCCTTTCCCTCTATCCTTCATCTCTTGCTATTGTTATAATCCTTTTTCTCCTTCTTCTCTTCTCCTCCATATCCTTTTCTTCTTCTTCTTCTTCTTCTTCTTCTTCTTCTTCTTCTTCTTCTTCTTTTTCATTTTTTTTGAAATAATCACCTTTGTATTTATACTAAAACAATTATTTGCCTCAGCCTCAGTAAATAAATATTCCGGTAAATGTCCCCTGATATTCATTTCGCCTTCGGTGAATAACTGTTAAATATTGTATTAGTATTTTTAATTAAATTTAGAAAAAGTTATGCTGTTTATCTTGGCAATGAAAAAGGCATCACAATTAGATTTCTCTTCAGAGAATGTACGATTGATGGTGCGAGTGGATCGATTCTTTCTGAAAAGCGCATTACGGAGAGTCATGATCATCAAATGTACACCGTTCTCATAATGGCTGAAAAGGGCACGAAAACGAGGTCACCCAGTCATTAGTTCACAATACAAGATATAAAAGTACATTAAATGAGNCTCCTCCTCCTCCTCCTCCTTTTCTTCTTCTTCTCTTCTTTCTTGGTTCTCTTTATTCTTATCTTATTTCTCCTCTTACCCTAACTATTCTCTTTTCCTAATCGTCTCCTCTCCTACAAATGTGATGATCCCATGACCATAGCGGATTAACCCATCAATAACGTCACGCAATGTTTCCGCTCCTTGGTTTATTGTGTCTGTCGGAAATGAGTCAATGATCAAGGTCAGCCACATGCACGAGGATAAAAGGATCTCTAAACTGAAACCAAACTAAACTCTAAATTTCCTTATCTCAACGCGACTGTTCGAAGGTAAGTTGTTTTGATTAATTCTGTGCCATACTTGCAGCCATCTCTATAGCTAGCATTGTATTGGATCACTGATCATAATTCATCTCTCTATCAGCTTATAAACACTAGTTATCAATGCCTGATGTCTGTATATTTATCTACTCATGATTTTGCCAAGCATGAAGAACTCTAGTTTTCCACAACAAATTTTAACTGCTAGTCAATTTGCTATTTTCCTAAAACCTCGTCTTTTCGCCAGCATGTTTTAATATAGTCTATTCTAAAGTATCTTTAACATTAGAACACGTTTTGGTAGAGTCGTACATCCTTTTACATTTGAATGTATTTTTACAGGTCTGTAATATTTATAACCCAGATTGTTCTTTAATCGTAGCAAGTTGGTTAAATTATGGTATTGGTATGCTTGTTATAGTAAGACGATTTAATGGTGATAATATGTAGTCAAAATTATGACCCGAATTAATCGTTTAGTTATTTCAAAGAATAATGTGTTGGGCTTCCTGTGTCGTGGAGAAGAATTTTGTTTACTTTTTTTTTGTCTGTCTTTCTGTCGGTGTGTCTCTCTCTGTTTTTCTGTCTGTCAGTGTCTGTTTCTACCTGTCTCGAAGTCTATCTGTGTCCGTTGCTTTATTGTTTGTTTGTTCTGAATGGTAGCCAAAATGGAAGTCGAATATCAAGCAATAACCGTCGGTGAAGAAAACCAGAATACCCAGGCCAGTGCCGACGAACCAAGGGACAAGAATCGAGGTAGCCCAGAGGAAACCAGTGATGTTGTGCCAAGGGTCTCTCTTGAAAGAAGAGTTGGTGTTCATCAGAAGATTTGCTGCTGGAAGTGTTTGACTTCAGAATATTTCCTGTTTGGGATCCCAGCTCTGCCAATCACGTTCGCTGTGTTGATTCTATTGGCTCTTATTATCAAGTAAGACCAAGGTCAAACGTCGGACTTCACATGAGCCGAACCTAATGAAATCAAAGAAGATCGCCTTGTTATCCATTGTTTTAATTAGGTTTGACTAGGTTTGACCTGAGCCTAAACTTCGTGTGAGGAGAGGTCGCAAAACCCAACCCTACCCTCTCCTCCCCTACGGGTGAAGATCAAAACAGTGGTTATTATACGAACAAACAAAACAACAACTTAGATCAAAGACAGATGGGAAGAACATCATAACTCTTTTTTTTTCGGAAAGAAACGTTACCTACCAAACGCGAGAAACGGGGGGGAGGGGAGGGAGGGGAGG